TGCGCAGCCCGCAGCCCGCTTACAGCCTGTGCTAAGGAAAGTCGCTTTCTCAGCCTCAAGGAGCTGGCGGCTTTGCAGGGATTCCACAACTTCCGCTGGCCCAAAAGTGTGTCCCGCGCCAAGAGAGGCAAAATGGTGGGCAACGCCATGTCGGTTCCTGTCCTGAGGGAGGCAATGAGGGCGGTGCTCACGGCAGCTAGGTTGATCCGCTGGGCCTAGTAACTGTGGAGCCACAGTTATTAAGACAAGAGCTGCTCCTGTTTAATTTGCTGGGACGATGGCCCTGCTTTGGGTTGGTGCTCCGCGACTGCAACAATTGACCGGGGTAAACAAAAAACGGAAGCGTTGCTGACGCGGATCAAATTCGACTTTTCACAGAGCGTGGCCCGTGCTTTCAGATTAAGGCTCATCCGCAGTTTTCAGATTAAGGTTCATCCGCAGTGTTTTTTATTTGAGGCCCCCGGTGCCAGCTGCGTAACCGCAGCGAGGTGCAGACTGCTATGGTTCAATCAACATCCTCGGCAAGCTCAACCCCGGTGCAATGCCGGAACATAAGCACTTCCCACTACGATGACGTGAGGAAGGCTTGGGAACTCATTGTGGGGCGCGGGCCTCAGTAATAGAGATGCCATCAGTCAGTACTGCGCTGCTGCTCAGGACGGATCTTTTCAGGGACCTTGAGTCAATGAAGCCCTTAACGATCGAGGAGGGCGGTCGTCAAGACCCCTTCGACAATCGCAAGTTGCAGTCCATGATGGAGGCCTTGAAGGAGGGAGATTCCACTACTGACCAGTACATTGCAGGCGGCAATGTAGCGTGGGTTAGCTGGTCATGGTCTTCGACTGCAAGTGTGCCAGTGTACAAGAGCAGCGTAAAGTGGATCATGCGCACCACGTACAAGACACCCCAGCCTATAAATTTGGTGGTGGCAGTGGATGACTTGTTTACGGACCAGAAAAATGGGCAAATGAAGAGGATCCCGGAGGAGGACCATCACGCCTTCATCTTGGCCACAGCGAGGGACTTGCAGCAAGACAAGTTCCAGGAGGCCGGCGCCGTCGCTGTCTTGGCCCCTAAATACATTACTAGCCAAGCATTGAGTTGCCAGCGCAGGAATGGAGAAGGGCGTGGCTGTCTTCCACGATCGATTGCCGCTTCAAGCCCGGGCTGAATTTGTTCTGGGAAGCGGCCAAGCAAAGGGAGGATGTTGGGACCAGCTACGAGACCATGTACTACAGCCCTGTGCAACGCATCTTTCAAATAGTGTCCTTCAAGTTGAATCACGAATCAGCTTCCAAGACCAAGCTGACGACTAAGAAGCTTTTCGAGATCTTGTCTGCCAACTTGACGGTGACATCGGGGGAGGCAGTGACGCAGTCCTTCCTCGAAGTCTTGATGGCTCTGTGGAATTCCTTGCTGAGCGACACTTCTTTCCGAGAGGAAGTCCTGCTTTCTGAGGAGCTCTTCGGAAAGCGAAGTCCCATCAAGTCCATATATGTTTTGCGAGACCTTGCCACTGCTTGCAAGAAGCAACCGCCTTGCGTGAAGTGGGTGTTCGATGCCCTCATGGATGCGGCGTTGAACAAAACCTTCAAGCAAGGCGAGCTCAACCCCCAGGCGTTGGCCGGCAAGAACCCCCGTGGGAATAATTCCAAAGGGCCTGACTCCTAGCACTGCTGCTTTTTTCTTAGGTTTTGCCTTGATTGATGGGGGCGCACTGCTTCTGAGGCTGTTGCATATGTGGGCATGGAAGTATGTCCTGAAAGATGAGATCCTGGACATGCTGTTGGCTCACAAGAGCCTGCCATGTGAGGACGCAAAACGCATCCGGGAGAAACTCTCCACTCAGGAGACGTGGCGCAAGGCAATGGCTGGTGGCCTTCTCTTCTCGCAGGAGACGCTCGACAATATCCCTGACAATGAACTTGACCCTAGCATTTTGACTGCAATTGGTGATTCAAGTGTCGCCCATGACATTGTAATGATCTGGACATGGCGCCGAGGCAAATCCGTGAAAGTCGTGGCCAACAAATCGTGGCTGGGGGCGCTGCAGCCAGCCAGTCAAGAGGCTGCGGAATTTCTGGCAGATCTCATTTACACCAAGAAGTACGACGAGAAGGTGAAGAGCGTGTTGCACACCAACTTTGACGTGAATGCCCTTCTCGAGCGCGAGGTGCTGAAGCCCATCTGGGACAAGCTAACCAAGAAAGCCGACAAAACGGCTGCGGCAACGCAGGCGGAGTCAGCGGACGAAGGTGCGTTGGATGACGCCGCCCTTGTGAAAGCCGCCATCCGCCTTTCAGAGCCCAATGAAGCCAAGGCAACTGAGGCTGTCCATGCAGTTGAAGCTCTGAAGACTGAAGACAAAGAGTTTCTGCTAGAAACTGAGACAACCGCCAAGGACCTTGTCAATTCCCTTTTGCAGGTCGCGGTGGCTGACCAAGAGATTGACAAACTCATCCTTGCTTTGTCGAAGGTGGAATTCCTAAACACGCGAAGCCAGGAGGGTTCCCAACTTTTCATTTGGGACGTTGAGCAGGCAGGAGAGCATAAAACCGACGCTCGGAGGTCACCCCCTCCGTTTCAGAAAGAACACTTCGAGAAAGTGGTCAAGGGCGTGCTTTTTGCACGAAACAGGCAATCCACTTTGACCTTTGACGACTCGGACGGGCCGCCTCCCCCAGACGCTTCGGATGTGTTGCCTAGCTTATTAGATAAACACAGGACGCGTGCGCCGTCCATGCGTTGCTCATCTTAGGTTCTTGTTCTTTGACGGAGGCCGGTCAGGCCTGCATTCTCATTGGAACAACCTGTTCAAGGGCATCGGCGTGACTAAGATGTGGAATTTAATCCACAGTGAGGCCTCGACAACTGCGAACAGGAAGGCCAGGAATCTGTCAGGGACGGCGATTGAGCGTGGGGCCAGGGCCTCAGCGTTTTAATGTGATTTCCTCGGAGGCGCGGGGGCTGATAATGAGGTCAACGTGATTAACTTGGCAGAAAAGGTCTTGGTGACCACCACGGATGTGCAAAAGCTGCAAGCTATCACGGGAAGCCGGAAGAACCTACATTTTGAGGGGACCGTGTGTTCAGATGCTGCGCCTTGGATAAACCAAACAGTGCGCGGTTGTTTGGCGCGCTCAGCTTGCGCCCCTTGTTTGCGTGCGAGTTTCTGAGGTCTACGGGGTCCCCCGGCATGATTTGGCAGGGCTGACAAGGCTGGCACCTGTGTTCAAGCACGAGTTGCTTGGAAGCTTCCGCGTGGCTGGTGCACCGAACAACCAACAGCGAACAGATGGAAGTGCAAAGGACAACGTGGCAGGAGAACCGATCACTTGGAACGAGGAATTGTTGCACCGGTATCGGCCACGGGCTGTCACACTCATGACAGCAGCAGAGCCTGCGACAGCCAGCGTGATTTTGACAAAAAGAATTCCAGTGACAGCAATTTGCTCCTTGGCTGCATCGCAGTTTGATGTCCTTTTGCTCGAGTTTGGTTCTGGTGCCCAAGAAGAGCACGCCAGGCTTCTCACAAAAGCACGCCAAGTGGTTCAAGGCCCAGGTCTGCACACAGCTCCTCGCGGCGATGACTGACCCTGCCAACGACAAGATTTTCAACGCAAAGCTGGGAAAACTTTTGCACCTTCCGCATGCGCAGAGCAGCAGCACCCCTGAGCCTTCCACGTCCACGGTGACAGGCAAGAAGCGAAAGTCGCGGGGAGGTGCCAATGCAAAGCCGAAGCCAAAGAAGGCTGCAAAGATGAAGGCGGCTCCGAAGAAGAAGTCGGAGAAGGATCTGATTGCAGAAGACGAAGAAGACGAAGAAATTGAAGATGAAGAGGACGTCGAGGAGGAGAATCTGAGTGAAGACTCTGTGGGTAGTGATGACTAAACAAACTGTGGTGCCACAGTTTGTGCATTCTTTTGTTTAGCCAGCGCATGACAATAATGATGATAGCGGGACATGTCTGTTGGCAGCGAAGCAATCACAGACCCAGGGCAGATTGCAGTTCGGAGCGCTGCGAGGAAAATGGGATAAACACGCTGCTGCAATTGTGAGTGTCCTGTCTTTTGAACTGACAGTGCACGGAGAACCATTTGCAGTCCACGACCTGTGCTCTTGAGCAGCCGCAAACTGCTCATGAGCCCCTCAAGCCAGTAAGTAGCATTGCCATTCATGAGCGGCGGCATTGAAGAAGGCAACTTTTTCCCGAGCCTGAGGAAGAACGACAATTGCGATGAGCCTGACTCTGGCAACCAGGAGGCTGAGCCTTCCATCGAGCAGCTCTTCGGCGAGGCGGGGGGATGGGATGATTCTGATGAGCCGGAGGACGAGAACGAAGATATGAATGAAGAAGAAGAAGCAGAAGAAGAAGAAGACAAAGACGCAGGAGAAGATCCTCCATGTCCAGTAGCGAAGGCCAAAGCCAAGGCCAAAGCCAAGGCCAAGGCCAAAGCCAAGGCCAAAGCCAAGGCCAAGAAAGAGCCCAAAGCCAAGGCCAAGGTCAAAGCCAAGGCCAAAGCCAAAGGCAAGGCCAAAGCCAAGGGCGCGTCAAAGAAAACCACAAATTATGAAAATACCCGAAAAGCTTTCTTTGACAACGCTGCCGAGAACGGCCTGGATAGTAATGCTGCCCGGAACGCCTGGCTTCAGAGCACAGAGAGGAAGAATGCGATAGCTTCAATGCCAAGTCCTGAGAGAAGGCAACGCAAATTTGTGAAACCTCCTCCCGCTGATGATGTAAACTAGACCTTGTGGCAATGTCTGCTGCGGGCGCGCAGCAGACCATGGCACCGCGTGATGGGCAAAGAAACAAAAGAGCAAGCATTGCGTGTTGGACCTTGCAAGTTGCGACTGTCCTTGAAAGTTGCGATGTTGTTGATTGATGTTATTGCCCTGCAGCTGTTTTCGCTTCACATCTAGAAAACTGCGCGTCAGTCCCACTTCCCACAGACATTACTGTGCTACCACAGTAATTATGTCGTCATGGTTGGACGGCATGGGCCGTCAGGAGGCACGGTTTCAGCCAGGCGACCACGCTTGCTTGGTGACGTGGAAGTCCAGCTTCTTCCCGCTCTATCAGCTTCATTCGGAGATACTGGAAAAGTTGGAGCAAGCCATCGTGTTTCGCAAAGGGAGCCCCATCTGCATGGAGGAGTTCAGGGATCTGCGAGTGTTCATTCATGTGAACAGCGACGATTATCTGGAAAGACATTACACAGAGGAAACTGCAGACTGGTGCAATCACGAAACTCGCACTTCCTCAGTGCAGCAGTGGATCGAGCATCGGCCTTGGGTTCAGCTGGTGCCAGGGCCCACGAAGAACCTGATATGTGCCATCAACGAGTACAAGTGGAAGCATTATCAGTTGCGGTGTGTGGTGTATGACATTCAACGTGCCCCTTATGGTGGAAATTATGGGCCCCTTTCCCATGCTTCCTGGGAGAAGCGCTTCTTGATTTGGGGCTGGCAGGACGAGCTCGATCGCGTGCCTGACCTGGTTGAGTGGTCCCAGGACTATTCCTCGATACTTTGCCTGCCAATCAGTGACCCCGTGCCAAAACCACGGGTGATGCTGAAGGCCCTTCACAGACGAGACGTTGACATGATTCGCAGGTTCATGCCACTTTCTCTCTTTCCTGGCAACGCCATCTGGCATCCTGATGACATCGAGCAGATCACTGCAGCAAAGCATGAATCTGATGCAGAAGGAGAGGACGCTGACATGCAGGCGGAGGATCCGGAGTTTCTGTTGGTCGACACCGCCGACCAGGTCCCTGGCACCGAGTGCGATCAAATTGGCCGTGTCCAAGTTGGACCCATCATCAACAATTCGCCATGGCACCAAGATCAGCGCGCAAAGCAGCGTGCTGCCGCCAGCTGCGGAAACGCAGCTGCTGGAACTTCAAAACCAGTCACTGTGTTCTCCTCTGAGTAGAGACTGAGACAGGCCCGCCGCCAGCCACAACGCACAGTGTTTTTGAGGCTGAAGTTGTGTGGCCTTGGATTGAAAAAAATGCATCGAGCCACGGAGTGTGGTGTTCGCATGTGCATGAGCACTGCTAGGCTTTGTTGTGGTGTGAGTGCACGGGCATTGCTGCTGCTTGTCGTCCTGCCCTTGACTTGCATCGCCGCAGTCATTAAGGCCCGAGTTTTGCCGAAGGTTTCCAAACATGTCGTCTGAACACGAGAGCACGGTGATTTTCGGCAGTCGGGCTGACCTTCGCGCAGAGCGGAAACGCAAGCGTGATGAGTCGGGGGACTGGGACATGCTTAGCCACCCAGACTTGCGGAGCATTCTGCAGCAGAAGGAGCGGCTTGGAAACATTTTGATGAAGTATTACCCCACGCTCCTCCATTTACCTGCGGATGCCATGCCTGAGACACCGCCTGTTGGCAACCATTCCTACACGGTCAAGCCTGCAGGATGCTGCAAGATTATGGTTAAGCTGGACAACTCAAGCTTTGTGGTGAAAGGCCTTGGACAATCACAGAAGTTTGGCTTCGGGATGAAGTTCTACGTGGGGAGTGCCGACGATTTGCCACTGAGTGAGCGAGTTATGCCAGGGCTTGTCGCAGTGGCTTGGGCAGAGGCCCAGGTCCTGGCAAGGAAGTGGCAGCAGAAGAAAGATTCCGAGCAACCTGATGTCTCGCCCAGCTGCGATGCAACAACTGAGCCATCCCCCAAGGATGCCTCTTCCGGAAGCGAAACAACACTGGCTTGGGAGCAGTTCAGCCCTGATCGACTTTGACTCCAGTACAGATTGGATCAGGTGTTCAAACAACTGCGCCCCCGCAGTTGGATGCCTTGCTGTTTTCCCAAACGGTGGTTTTTGCAAGCTGCAATTGCTGCTTGCTTCTTAGTAGCAACATGGTCGGGGAGACATGCAATTGACATGTCGCGGGGAAAGCTGAGAGTCTGAAAAAGGAGCCCGCGTGAGTTTCAACAGCCACTGCGTGTTCATGTGTTTCTCAGACCTTCCACATCAGAAGGCCAGCCATGCCTGCCAGAGGCGCCAGAGCTCCTTTCGGCAATTGAATTGTTGAAGCCCCCCGAGGGTCACTCTGCGCAAAAGATGGGGGCAGGCGGGATTTGAATCCGCGACCTCCCTACCAACTGCGGGTCCGCAGGTTGGTTCGGGCGCGCTGCCATTGCGCCACTGTCCCTTGCTCCCTCTGTGGCAACTTCGGGGCCTGAACCCGGCCCAAATTTTGAACAAGTCTTCGGAGCCAACACGGAGAGTTTTTCCAGCTTGAAAACAATTTAGAGCCTGAACCCGGGGCCCAAATGGAACAGCTTTTCGGGGCCCGAATCCGGGACCCGAATGGAACAGCTTTTCGGGGCCCGAATCGGGGCCCGAATCAAACAACTTTTCGGGGCCCGAATCCGGGACCCGAAAGGAACAGCTTTTCGGGGCCGGGGCCCGAATCGAACAACTTTTCGTGGCCCGGGGCTCTTGGCTGTGGATGTTTCTCTAGGGGCTCTTTGGAGGCCACCGTTTCAATCTGCACATTTGTGTCCACCAGCCATCTTTTCGGGGCTCGAATGGTATACGACTTTTCGGGGCCCGAATCCGGGACCCGAATGGAACAGCTTTTCGGGGCCCGAATCGGGGCCCGAATCGAACAACTTTTCGGGGCCCGGGGCTCTTGGCTGTGGATGTTTCTCCAGGGACTCTTTGGATGCCACTGTTTCAATCTGCACATTTGTGTCCACCAGCCATCTTTTCGGAGCCCGAATGGTATACGACTTTTCGGGGCCCGAATCCGGGACCCGAATGGAACAGCTTTTCGGGGCCCGAATCGGGGCCCGAATCGAACGACTTTTCGGCCCGGGGCTCTTGGCTGTGGATGTTTCTCCAGGGGCTCTTTGGAGGCCACCGTTTCAATCTGCACATTTGTGTCCACCAGCCATCTTTTCGGGGCTCGAAGAACAGCTTTTCGGGGCCCGAATCGGGGCCCGAATCGAACAACTTTTCGGGGCCCGGGGCTCTTGGCTGTGGATGTTCCTCCAGGGGCTCTTTGGAGGCCACCGTTTCAATCTGCACATTTGTGTCCACCAGCCATCTTTTCGGGGCCCGAATGGAATGACTTTTTGGGGCCCGAGCCCAGTGCCCGAATGGTAGTTTTTTTCTTGTGGTGCTTGAATACTTTGTGCAAGTTGGACTTTTTTGTTTTTTGGGGATCTAAAGCTTGACTTGCCGGTAGTTGAACCTTTCGACCATTGACAAACTCTTATGGGCCAGCATTGAAAAGATCTGGGCAGGGGGTGGACTCTCGCTACTTTCTTTGTCAAGCTCCAGCCGCCTGACTTCACGTCGCCGTTGCCAAAGGGGGCGTGCCATGGTTGTGATAATAAAGAGCGAGCTGGGGAGATGAAGAACACCAAGAAGCTGCAGGCCGACCCCGTGAATGTCAAAACTGCAACTAAGAGACGGCAGCTTGGAATAACAGTTCAGTCAATAATTGTAGTATGTGTTTTATTATCTCTTCAACTGTGTTCTTGAGCCTGCCCAAAACATCTTTGCAAACTGCACTGGGCCAGGTACGAGAACAACCGGACCTGCAACATCCGTGTGCGACTCACCAAGGAAGAACTATTGAATCTCCAAAACCATGATGAGTTGCTTGCTGAAGTAGATCGGCTGCGGCTGGACAATGACTCCATGAAGAAAGAATTAGATTTCTGGACCAAAAGCACTACCATGGGTGCACGGGACTGGTGTGACCGTCTCCGCCAGGCTGAGCAGAAATTCCGTGAAGCAGCTGAAAAGAACGCGCGGCTTGAAGAGGCCCTGCGTGATTTAAACAGCAAGTTGGACCAGCTTGCGCTTATGACAAACTGCGCTCGCGCAGTTTGTTTTGAGGCGAAAGCAGCCAGCGCCAGTGCCTGAGGCAAACCTGGCAGCTGCCATATGACGGGGTCTCACTGGCGCTGTCCAGCTGTATCTCTTTTCCATTGGCGTGGGGCAATGCCGGAAAAAAAGAGAGCAGCTGCGCGTGCACGGCCTTTTGCTTCTTGCTTATCGGCTGCTAAGGTGGCCAACGATTGTAACCAGTAGGCTGCCAAGTTGCATGTTTCTGCCCAAGCGGATCCCGCCCCTTCCCTCTTGACTTTCTTCTTTGGGGTCCTTTTGGCCATGCAGCAACGCAAGTCAAGTTCAAGCCACCTCGGAGTAAGAGCGCATCCCAAAATTCTTCCCCCCCCCCCTCCCTCCCCAAGATTTTCGGCAAAAAAACACTTCCGAAAAACGGATTGTTTTGACAAAGAACGCGCACGCGAAAAAACAAGGTTTTCGGTCCAAAAAAAGCACACAAAAAAAAGGCATAAAAAGCATGTCCTTAATGACCGGCCAGTCTTGATTGCCGGGAATCCGAGGGCGTGCGGGAAACCTCCGTACCCCGACGTGCACATGCGGCATGTGAGTTCGCCACAATCTGGTTGAGGCCTCCAACGCCGAGCTGTCCTGGCCATTCCTAATGAAGTCTCTGACCAGTCGATTGAGCGCCCGGTCATTGGACATCGCCAGGAAAGCGTCTATCATAGAAGCCTCCGGCAGCGTCCGGAAATGACCTTCCACCGGACTAGCAGCAGCTCGTTCCACCGAGTGCAACCTGACATCGCTTCCCGCAGGTTTCTTCGCCATCGCCTTGGAAGCCGTCGAGGGCGCTATCGCGTCCTTGGCTGACGATCTACCAAGCGCGGAGTGAAGGTCATCCCCACTTGCTTCCCTGGCCGCAGCGCCAGGCCTACTGTCAACATCATCGGGCCTCTTTGAAGCCTCCCGCTTCGTTGACTCCTTAGTCAGCTCCTCAGGATCCCAACGCGATTTGTTTTTCTCTCCTGAGCTTCTCATCCGATCCCCGGCTATCGCCAGGTGCATCGTCCCCGCTGCCCTTTTCCTTGTTGATCTCAGTCTTGTCGTTGGGGCCTGATCGCCTCCAGCTCTAGGAGCGGGAGCAGCCTTCCCTTCGGCTCCGCCTTTGGAGCCTGGACCTTGGAAACGGGACCGTCTTCGCCTTTGCGCTTGGTCGAGCCCCCTCAGCAGCCACAGCCATCCAGCTCTTCTTTGGCTCAGCTTCGGGTGGATCGACCTCCATGGGGGTTGGTCCTGCATCAGCCTTGGCCTTCGGCTTTGCCTTGGGAACGCCAGGGCTATCGCCCTTACCGGACCCTTTTCCCAAACCTTCGCCTGACTTTGGCGATGGGTTGGAAGGGCTATCGCCCTTACCTCCTTTCTCACCCTTCTTTCCTTTTCCCTTTGCATCCTTTGACACCGGCTCTTGCTTGGGACCTAGACACTCCATGGTCAAGAGCAGAAGTCTGCGTCTTGCTCACTCCAGTGATGGGCATATAGGTTCCAGGACGAACTAGACAGATGAGCACTCCTGACGTGCTCTTGGAATCTGTCCAATCCCCGAACAAGTCCGCATCACAGTAAGCGACCAGTTCAATGAAGTCTGGGCTATCGCCCACCCAACCATACAGATGAAGGTCAAGCGTAGAGTTCACATATGAAATAAGCTTATGGAGCTTACGGTCGCACAGGTGATTCCACTTAGTGACCCGGCTGGCTAACGCCTCGAATAAGGTCGTACCTGCCCATCCTAGCTCCGTAGAGAACCTTCATCAGCACTGCCGCCGCATCGTTGTCGAGGCATCCTGGCTGTGCGTCGATGGTCTCCATGTCCATAGCCTGGTTGAAGAGCGAACCAAATTCGGGATAACTCCGGCTTGCTCTCGTCCAGGAAAGGCGTTTCCACCTTTTGCAGCTTCTTGGGGTATTTCCCCTGACGCAGCTCAATGTATCTATCGACACATGCCTGCATGAAGCTACTTTCACTACACTTGATGAACCTGATCGTCGTCTCCGGCTTGGGCCAGCCTCGGGTCAAAGTGTCCCTTGACCTTTTGCTGTGCGAACTCATGCTCATGCTCACAGCCAAGATGTCTCTTGAGCTGTCTAGGTTCTTCCCTCTTGATGACCTTCGAGATCAGAGCCCATCCTACTGCCAAATTCTTGGCTGGTCCACTCATCTGTCATCAACGTGTACGACGAGAAAAAGATCAAGCTCCTCGTAACGCTGGCCCAGTCCTTTACCTTGACGTAGCCGACCTGCTTCAGCATGGCTTCGCAGTGCTGCTCCCAGCGGGTACCAGCGTCTGGATGCCCGTGCAGCGCAAGCACGAGGACGACAACTGGGTCCTTGTACTTAGGGTTGCCGCTGCTGTCAAACCATTCGGTCACGAGGAAGTCTCACCCAGGTCTTCTTTCCCTTTAGGCGGGCCTGAGTATACGCCGACTCTCCGTCGCTTACCTCCAGAAGGTTTCCGGGAAGCAGTCATAGTAGCGGGACAAAAGGTGTTTTCAGAGAACAAGGCCCAATGCCCGACCTCATCACGGACGAAGCAACCCTCGAAGACGACTCGTCCTTTATACTTGCGATTTGGATCGTCTTCAGGAAGCTCGTGGTTCTTCTCAACACAGATGTCAAAAATCCTCCCGACGTGGGTCTTCTCCCCTTCCTTCCGGGCTTTAGCCGCAACATCGAACCACTCCTGGACAGTCGACAGGTCCCAACATCCTTGCGATGTCAACTTGTCCCACTCCTTTTGGCAGCCCTCGCTTTGGCATTCGCAGCTTGCTCCTTCTTTTTGACAGGTCTAGCGACACAAGCGTATAAGGGAGGGAAGACGCCTGGGTTCTTGGGCCGATGCGAGAGGGATATTTCATCGCGAACTCAAAACTCT